AAAAAAAATAGCCCCATGAATGACTTGCTACAGTAGGAATAAATGAAGGCACAGAGAGAGGCAACAGACCCACACCCTCTTCACATCCCCTTCCCTCGCTGGGCAACCAGGAATCAATGCTTGTCTTCCGTTTCATTTCCATACACGTATTGTTACAGCTATATATACAACCTCTCGCCAGCCACAGGTCGGACATGGTCCCCCCAGGTGAAGAGCAAGCGCCTGGCCGTGGCCTGGATGGTCCCTGGGTTCATGTCCTCTCTGTGGCCTATCCACTGTCTAGTCCAGCGTCTGCCCGATAAGCCAGTTAATAGGGGATTCCCCTTGGGAATTCTGAGAGAGGCCCCAACCAGGTGACCTGAAATGTTGGTTCTAGGGTATACAGGTCAGGGACCAAAAGGACTGAGGCCAGAAAGGGTAAGCAGTTGAGGGACCTGCTGCCTGTTGGGTTCTGTCCTGAGGGCCTGGCAGTGAAGGGCCCAGGTGGCCGCAAACCTTGGGGCAGGTGGTAAGGCGGTCATTTCGGTGTGCTCGTCTCTGCAGGGATGAGCTCTGCCCAGGGAAGTTACCCAGTGGGGCCTGAGTTTGCTCACTGGTCAGCCTGTCTGATCTGGACCACCAGGCAGTAGAGTGCTGACTGTTGACAACAAAAAGGGCTTTGTTAGATGCTTTCTTCTCTCCAGTGTGGAAATGTAGTGTCCAGCTTTGGGCAGCTTTGCAAAACTCCAACATTGTAGCTTTGAAGTACCAAGTACAAGGCAGGATTATACTGCTCAGAGCTGTTCTCAAGGTTGGTTTTGATTATGGATAACGTTGCCTTCCCAGCCCCTCATCCCCGATCTGTGGATTCCGCCTGGTGCTTGTCGAGTTTCTGCCTTCTACTAAGGCTGGCTCTGAGCTCTCGGGCAGAACCGGGCTCCTCCTTACCAGCTGTTCCCAGAGGCCTGATGGAATAGGAGTCAAACAGGCATAACTGTGGGAGGACTTCAACCTGCACTAGTTCATGTCTCTGAGTAGTTTATAGGGGTCCCCCTCATTGTAAAACAAATGAACAATCTGTCACCTTGGACCTCAACTTGTCAAATGAGGTTGTCAGATCAAGATGATCGAAGGTTGTGAAGTCTGCGGTTCCAGTGTGGGTGTGTGTTACTTAGTCAGTTCCTTTCAAGAACAAGTCTGGTGCAAACAGAGCTCCCCATGACTTACCTTCATGTTCCTGGGGTGCCTTCTGCCAGTTTTACACAAGTGCAGCTTTGCATTCTGCTGGGGTGGTACTGTTTTCTCTATTGGGTTCCGTTTTTCTCCCATTGACCATGGTCAGTTTTTTAAGGGGCTCCCCAGGGGTGGGGATAAAATGTGGTCTTGGATAGCTTGCTAGTCCGGACGAAACTCTTGTGGACCTTGAGCTTCTCGTGAGCTTTGAGGGGGGGCCTCTCTAATGCCGATGTCTTCTTCCCCTGCACCCCAGCTTGTGCGGAGGACTTCTTCTATACGTCGCAGGGGGGAGACACGTCCATCGAGGGTGTGGATGATGCTGAGGACTTTGAGAAGACCCAACAAGCCTTCACACTCCTCGGTAAGGAGCTTCCAGGGAAGAGGCCAGGGGGAAGGTCAAGGGGGTGAATCCACAGGGCGGAGAGCACTGGCCTCGGCCCACTTTGGCGTGCTCACCGCGTCAGCTGATGAGGTTCCCCACTCCTTCTGGGTCAGTGCCTTCTTCCTCTCTTGTTCCATCCCAGGCCTCATGCTCCAAAACTTAAGACCTGGAGCTTTGTTGACCTTTCTTAAAAATAAAGGCTTGAGAGTTGCTGTCTCAGCCACTGCCAGGCATCCTTTTCACTACCTAAAGCCATCAAAGAGAAGCAAGAGAAGCCCTGTCTTTGGTGCCCTGGTCCGGGTTTGAGAGCCAGGGTGTCCTAGCAGCGAGAACATGCCTTTGACACCAAACCTCCCAAGCGCTGAGTCCTGAGGTCTGCGCTGGAAGAAGCTGTAGTGTCTGGTCGCTGTCAGAGTGTTGTGCTATTATCATGATTTTCACATACAGCCCAGCAGTGGAGTCCTTAAAACAAGATCTCTCTGTCCTTTGGGGGTGCAAGGGGCAGTTGAACTGGAGAAGATGAACTCTTTTCCATGCTAATTTGGGGGGAGAAGTGCCCCAACTGGTAAAGTGGAAGGTGAGCTTTCTTAACTGGGAAGTTGAAGTGGTAAATTCCTGGCACCTGCAGCCGGAATGTGCAAAGCTTGGAAAGCCTCCCTGAAACCCGGACTGGGGATGTGGCCCTGGAGGCTGCTGGCAGCAGAGAGGTGAGTCCCTGCAAGAAGGTTCTCCTGCAGGCTCCAGGGAGCCTTGTACTTTCATTGTCAAAGGAAATGGCTTTTATAAAATTATTTTACTAGGATATTCTTCCTTACCCTTTAATAAACATGCCCCCCTTCCCTCTAGGAGTTGGCAAACTTTGTCTTGAAGGACAAGATAGCGATTATTTGGGAATTTGTGGGCCAAACAGTTTCTGTGGCAGCTACTCAGCTTTGTCTTTCGAGTGGAAAAGTTCCCACACAAAAATGTAAACGAACGGGCAGGAGCATGTGCTAATAAAAGTTCATTTATAAAAACAGGCTCTGGGCTATGGATCCCAACTCCTATTTTACTTCTTCAGCTTTATTGCTTGATGATTCGTTTTGGCTTCCCATGGTGATGCACTGCTCCTTTAGAGAGCCCAGAAGTACCAAAGAGCTTTCTGGTCCGGATGGTGCAAGGACCCTAATTATTGTAAGTCACTCACTACCTGTCACTTGGCAGGCAGGATGAGTCGTTTCCCTCTCATCCTCTGGTGTCCCAGCACCGTGTCCTCACCAGTACATCAGGTGGGTCTTACCTGCGAGCACGCTGAGCTCTGACTGCCAGCGCGTGGCCACCTCTCACTGGGCACTGGCCTCTGGGTACACCTGTCCTCCTCTTCAGTCTTGCCCAACTGCATGACATTATTTGGCCCCTGGCTGTCTTTTAGACTAGTGGCTTCAATAGACCCAGCACAGTGATGCCCACAGGCGTGGACATCGCAGTCCTGGCCGTCTGGGCCAGGTGCTGATTCTATTGGTGTCGCTTGTGCTTCTGGCACCTGCTGCGGCCAGACACTGGCGGTGTAGCCATGAGGCAAGAGCAGGTGTGCCTGTGTGTATGGTCACTGACACTGTAACGATTTTGACTGGATTTGTCTAATTCATGCTGGAATGTCCACTTTGTAGCTTTTGCTGAGTAAAGAAGAGAAGTCTAGCCTGACCCATCTTTTCTCTAATTTGTGTGGCTATCACTCTGACTTTTCTGTTTTTAGTCAGAGTGAAGTATTATCTTGAAAGCAAGTTACTGCAGCTGGGGAAGAAGGTGTGTGTGTAAAGGGAGGCATTGTACTATAGGCTGACTGCTGTTTATTCTAGTCTTTTCAGGTCTTAATATTTTATTCACATTCTGTGACCTGCTTTTAAGTCTGAAATATTTTTGCAATTCAGCCTCAGATGGCGATGCTTTGACAACCCCACCTCGATACTGCCTATATGTGTGGGGCAGCTTTGACAGTATCCGCTGCCCCGAGGTTGGGGTGGGGGCAGCCTGTCTGTAGGCAAGCAGGCGCCCCTAGCCAGAGCCAGCCCGCCAGTTCCACAACAGTATGTCACGAGTTTCTCCTCCCCTTCCCTGGCTGGCACTTTGGATATGTGTCACAGCTGTTTGCAGGATATTATGTCGGGAGCAAAATGACAGCAGAGAAATGACCTTTCTTATTACATGCATATGAAATACTCGGTTGAAATGAAGTCCGAAACAAGTCTACGTGATTGCTGCCTCTCCTTTGCTCCCAGAGAAGTTAAAATCATGCATGACCCATCTGGTTTGATCAGGACAATCACAGTGAGGATATTTTCCAGGGGCCCCCATCACTTCCTGAGCTGTTGCTATAAGTGGTAATTACTAGGTAAGGAGACTGCATCATTTAAGGAGTTACTGGCTCAGAAAGGAAAAACCAGACCTGATTTTTAAGTCCTGAAAAAGAGGGTAAAATGTCCTTTCTGCTGTAGCATGGATATTGAGTGCCATTCATTCGTTCTTTTTTCCCCAGGAGTGAAAGAGTCCCATCAGATAAGCATTTTTAAGATAATTGCTTCTATCCTACACCTTGGAAATGTGGAGATTCAGGCTGAGCGTGATGGTGAATCCTGTAGTATATCAGTAAGTAGCACACCAGCCCCCGAGATAAAACGTACACAATTTACTCCTACGGGTTTGTACAGCTGAACTGCATCTTTACCCTTAGAGGGTACTCCTAGGTTATTTATTCTTAACAGCAGTGGAGCCTGTTCCAATGCTGATAATTTTTTTGAAAGAACACACCAGCTGCCATCAAGTTTCTATCATTCAATTGAGTGCCCACTCAGTGCATTCTTTTGGACAGGTTGGTTTTACAAGTACCCTGAGGCCCACACAATTCCTATGAGGTACTGTGAGCTCACGAATTCCTTCTGAGCCCCTGCGTGAGGTCCCTGAGGCAAGGACATGAGAGGCATAGTATAGTCACCCTGTGTGATGACTGTCCCCAAAGAGCTGACAATCTGATTGGGCAGACAGTCGGGACACAGAGATTTTGACAACACAAGATCAAAAGTTACACGAGGCCCTCCCTGGTGGCGCAGCGGATTGAAGCACAGCACTGAGAATCTAAAGCCACTTCTGCATGAGTTCGATCTCTGCCTGCCCCGGAGGTGACCACATGGTGTGGCAGACCTCTCCTGACCTGCCCGCTGCTCCCCTCAGCAGTGTACTTAGTCGATCTGCCTGTCCAGCTCCCCACTCTGTCTCTGGTGAAGCCTCTTGCAGCCCCTGAGCCTCTGGCCTGTACCCCAGTTCTGTATGCACAAATAAATAAATCTTAAAAAAAAAAGCCTTCTAGGCCCTCCCTGGTGGCGCAGCGGATTGAAGCACAGCACTGAGAATCTAAAGCCACTTCTGCATGAGTTCGATCTCTGCCTGCCCCGGAGGTGACCACATGGCGTGGCAGACCCCTCCTGACCCGCCTGCTGCTCCCCTCAGCAGTGTACTTCATCGATCTGCCTGTTCTGCTCCCCACTCACCGCCCCTGAGCCTCCGGCCTGTACCCCAGTTCTATATGCTCAAATAAATAAATCTTTAAAAAAAAAAAAGTTACATGAGACACCATGTGAAAGTGTTGCTGACACCCAAGGGCTCCGTAAATGCCCATCAATGAATGAGCCATTTTCCTGGTGCCCAACATAGCAGATGTCTGGCAGGTCGACACGGTGAGCTGGGGGCAGTGACCGTGTGAGCTCTGTGGCGGGGACAACAGTGCCCGCTGGCTGGCTGGCTGGCTGGAAGTGTCTCTCCGGCCTTGAGTGAATCTGCATTTGCTCACCAGAGGCCCCTTTTGTCCTCATGAGTGACCGAGTCCCAGGAAGGTTCAAAGTGTGAGCCTCACCCTGAGGAACTTAGAATTGAAGTTAGCAGACACTGGGGAAAGACAGAGCCAGCATGCCCGAGTGTGGAAATGGCCATGCGTCCTTGCCACTCGCAACCTGGCTTGTTTGTTTTTAATTGAGCAAACATTTATTGACCTATCACTTTTAGTGGTCAGAGGTTATCAGATTTTAAAACTGGCCCTGCCCTTAGGGAAAAGATCTGGCATCTGCCGAGCATGTCACTCCCTGTGCATTTTCCTTACGAGAAGGGTCTTGGGTTAAGGAGTCCCCTGGGCCCTGCAAGGCTCCATCCTCAGCAGCCTCGTGGGTCCAGTGGACAAGGAGGAAGTTGGAGGACACGTTGTCCTAGGTCAGAAGGAGCCAGCAGCCAACCCGTGTGTGGACTGTCCACTAGCTGCCCTGATGCTGTCCAGTCTCGCCTCTTCAACAGGGCCCTGCCCCTGGAGCTGGGCTGCCCTCTACGGCCTTGGGCGCCGGGGGGTACCTAGCACAGTGGCAGCCCACTGTAGATGCTCAAGACCCTCTGCTGAACAAGGTGATTAGAGACCCTCTGAGGTTTATTCCTTGGGCACAAGCTGGGCCCCGGGGAAAAGGCTGTCCATCCCCAGCTTTGTGCTTTCTGCTCTGTAGTTTTTATTTTTAATTAAAGCATGAAAATGTGCTCCGTGCTTGCCAGAGTTACCTTGGAGAAGCACAGCATGCAAGCGCTTGGATACCAGAGGCAATTTGTTTCTTGAATTTAGCAATATGGGCCCACAAAACTAATCTGTTATCTGTGACGCTGGCTATTTTTAATGAACTTAGCATCATTTAATTAAGCATAAGTGTAATTGCACCTTGTTAAATCAGTTTCAGTTAGCACCTTTAATCACAGACAGCATGAGCCACGCCCAGCGCAGAGGATGGGAACCTGACCCCCGGTGCCTCAGACAGCTCCGAGCCTGTGGCCCTTGCTCCACTGGGCCTCTGAGGGCGGAGGGGGAGCTCCGGGCAGGCTTGGGACTGTCCTGTCCCAGCTGGCACGCCATTTACGCGTCACAGAATCCAGCAGGGCTGTGCCCGACGATTAGGAATTTCTTGAAGACAAGCGGAATTAGCAGGTTGGCTACTGGCCCCCTCTGCACCGGCTGCTTGCCATGGTGTCCCCAGACACTTTGGGGTGGGGATGGGGCGGCTGCAGAGTAAAAGCCCGTGGGCCAAGGAAAGCCACCCTACTAGTGACCCCAACCGCTGAGTGAATGAAGACAGGGACTCTGCCACCCCAGCCACCCAGCCCAGCCTCAAGCAGTCCCCCTCACCCGCCGGGCTGGGGTAGGAGCTTGGATGGTGTTGCCCTCTCCCTCCAGGGAGTCAGGCCCGTTCGCTCTGTCCGCTGCTCCGGGAACCAGGCTTTGGAAGAACACAGCCCTTCAGTGTCACTCAGAAGTTTTTTTTCCCTATTCTAGACATTATCTCATAGTCGTGTTTGTTTTGGGTAGATGGGTTTTAAATATCTGCAGAAGGAAAAAAGTGGCCTAGGGATGTGGCTTTAAGGGGGAAATGGTGTGGTTAGCTGTGTTAATTTTCCTTGGACAAGCCCTCACTTAAATCCTACGAGGCAGCCACATCAGCAACTGAGTCCCACGAGCAATTTAGGGCCATGAGGAGATGTCATGTTCTAAGGCTCCCTTTCCTCTATCGAGCTTTCCAGCGGTTTCAGGGTGGGGTGTCCGCTTTCCTGGTGGATTTAGATGAAGGAGTGAAGAACAGGGAAGGGGAACCTCTGAGGGAGAGTAGATTTTCTGGGGGTGTCCTGATGGACAGCAAGGATTCTCCAAGAGACTTGGGCATTTGGGGGACATTAGACAGATCTTTGGAAGATCTGGTTATCAGAGGCTCAGAAGCCTGGAAGCACAATCAGTCCTTTCAGATGAGGAGGATAGAGGTGGGTGCTGGTACTTTGGTGCCAGCAAGCACTGCTGGGCAGAAGGAGGTCCCCAATGACCGTGGTGAGTTGTTGGCTTCTCTGGCTTCTTACCTGGACGAGAAGGTTCTCAAGCTGGAGGATTTCCGTTTTTCTGAAGCTGGGCCTGCAGTGTGATTTCCGACCTTCCAGTCCTTAGCTCCCAGTAGGTCATCTGTACCTAAGCTACCTGTTCTTACTTCACATCCATCACCCAGAATGTCCTCATCCTCGCCTCCAGCGGAGGGGCTGCAGAGGAGGAGACGGGGAAAGTGGGGAGAGTTTTTCTTTTAAAGCCTGATGGTGAGGCTACAAGCAGGCGCGAGACTGAGCGTGAGCTCTGTGGGCCCACAGCATGTCCACTTGCAGGGTGAGCATGCATGAGGCCCCTTTGTGGCAGCCGGCGGTAAAGTGGGGTTCAGAAGCCATGGGGAGGCTTGGAGTTGAGCTTGTTCCCCGCAAGGCAGGAGCGGAGAAGGGCGTGCCGGAGACCCTCTGAACACCTCTCCCCGTGTCCTTGCAGCCCGAGGACGAGCACCTGAACAACTTCTGCCGACTGCTGGGGGTGGAGCACAGCCAGATGGAGCACTGGCTGTGCCATCGCAAACTGGTCACCACCTCGGAGACCTACGTCAAGACCATGTCCCTGCAGCAGGTGGTGAACGCACGCAACGCCCTGGCCAAGCACATCTACGCCCAGCTGTTCAGCTGGATCGTGGAGCACGTCAACAAGGCCCTGCACACCTCCCTCAAGCAACACTCCTTCATCGGGGTCCTGGACATCTACGGGTAGGCTGTGCCGGGTCCCCGCTTTACTCCACAGCTGGGCCTAGAGTCTCCCCCTGGTACTTTGGGGCCAGCAAGCACCCTGGAGAGCTTCCTGGGGGTTCCCAGCCCGGGGAGTGTGAGGTGTGGCTGTCACGGTGTCTGGGGTCACGACTGGGTGTACAGGGATGCTGGGTGTCCTGAGAAGGAATGGGTCCTGTCAGAGTGCCAGCTGCTCGCCCCATTGAGAAAACTCTGTGGGTAGCCCTTAACACAACGGTGAAGTCGAAGTCTGGAGAGCATGTTTTGCCTGACATTGGACTGGAAGTTACTGTACACTCAAGTCTAGGCTTTGTATGTCAGTGTCTAGAGGTCATGCGCTGTGTCGCCAGTCAAGGTGATTGTTTCTGTACCTTGACTTTGCCCAGTGCCATGAGGACCTGAGTTGTGTGGTCATTCTTGAGGTTGCTCTTCCTGTAAGAGTGCTAACCGAAGGACAGGACAGGGTTGCAACAGCACACTTTGCAGGGAGAAGCACCGGGGCCCTGCGGGAAGTTTGGGCTTCCTACAACTTGTGTAGGCTCCAGACAGGGCTTTTGCCTTGGCGCCGTCACAGCTGCAGGTCACAGGCCCACACTGTGACTGCAGTGGCTCTGAAGTTCCCTCCAGACCCTTGACTGGGTACGTCTTCCTAACCAGTGTTCCATCCTCTCTAAGCGAATCATAGACTAAATCTACCCTGGATCTTGGTGTCATGGAAGTCATGACTTCCGACTTAGAACAGAAACTGGGGGGCCCTCCCTGATGGCGCAGCATTGTGGGACGCAGCCCTGCAAGCTGGCCGCAGCCACTTCAGTGCGAGTTTGATCCCACCCCGGAGGTGACCCACATGGCGTGGCAGCCCCCTCCTGACCCGCCTGCTGCTCCCCTCAGCAGTGTACTTGTCAGTTGGCCTGTTCTGCTCCCCCAATCTGTCTCTGGTGACTCCTCTCACCACCCCTGCACCTCTGGCCTGTACCCCAGTTCTGTATGCATAAATAAATCAATCTTAAAAAAAAAAAAAAAAAAGCCAGGTCAGAAGGAAGTCTCATGGGCGGTGAGGACCAAGCCAGGCCCATCATCCCAGAGTGGAAAGGGAAGAAGGCTTCTTTTCCTGCGCTTGCAGCCCAGCAAGCAGGGACGGGCGGTTCCTGGAGAGCCTGCTTCCTGCTTGCTCTTAGAGCAGATGGTAGAAGAGTCTCTGCTCTCAGAACCCACCGCCCAGCTGCCCGTGACCAATTCCGTTATTCCTCCCTCTGCTGTAAATATTTTCAGGTAGTTGGGGTTTCCAGCTTTAGTGTTACCTTCCGAGGCGAGAACCCTAGGAACTTCAGGTTTCCAGCATTTGACCCAATTTTCTTTAGCTACCTAGGCAAGGCTCTTTTAGGGAAGTTTTGACTTAGAGATTAGCCTGCAGCCCTGTTGTTTACAGTCTGAACTGAGCGCAGAAATAACAGTTCTGTTTCGGTTATACACTGGCCCAGCTGGGCCTTGAACTAAAAGAGGCTCTCCCCTTCCCAGGGATCCCCAGTAAATGGTTTTGCTTATAGCTGGGGAGAGGGAGCTCTCTGAGCTGGGCTCCTAGTGCCACTGAGTCAGGAGATGTCCACTGGCTTGTGCTTTTATTTCGCATCACATTTTTACATTGGGGTTTATTTTCTCCTGCCCCAAAGGAGAAGGAGGGTGTGGGGAAAGTCTGTCCTGGAAAGGTATCCCTGTCTCCCATTTCTGTTGCCACCTCCTGAGCTGAGCCCCTTACCTCCGTGTAGCCACGAGTGCCTCTGAGGACATCTGACAGGACCACAGAGATGCAGGGTGTGGGGCCATGTGGGGATTTGGTCAGCAATTCCCGACCCTTTGTGTTTCCTTCCAGGCAAGCTCTGCTCTTTCAGAAAGATCCCTTTTTTTCTTTCTCAGAAGCTAATTTTTTCGTTCTCAGAAGTAGTCATGTTTAAACAGTGATTTGCTGTCCTCCTGGAGAGAAATGAACGCCGCGGTGGCTGTTCCCCATATTCTCCTGCCACGCCAAGTTCACACGCGTGGGCAGGGGCCTGGTGGGGCTCCGGCAGGCTCAGCGCTAGCAAGCTGGCTGGCTGGTGGGGCATGTTGTCTTCGAGAAGCTCTCCCGGACTGTCTCTGAGCACACGTAGTGCACTTCCCAGCATGTCTGGGTTGCAGAGAAATTGTATAAACTGGCCCTAGCTCTCGCTTCTGGTCAGAGAGAATGTAGTGAACGCATCGCAGATTAAAACCCCAACTCTGACCATGGGCAAGCAAGTGATTTGATTGTGCAGGTGATGTTCTGACCTGTCAGGTCAGATTTTTCTTAATCTGGGAGAAAATGACTAAGCATCATCAGAAACCCGGCAGGACTCACGTGAGCTGTTTTGGTCACTGGCTTGCCCAGCCACGGGGTTTCCCTGAGACGTCAGATACCTTGTGGAAGCCCCCCGAATTCTTCTCTTTAATGCGATCACTGCTCAGTAACCTGAAAGTGGGTATCACACCGGAAGCTCCATCTTCTGACTTCTCTCTCCACCTCCTTCCCATTTCAAACTCATTCCTGTCTTGAAGTTTTAAAGATTTATTTATTTGTGCATACAGAACGGGGTACAGGCCAGAGGTTCAGGGGCGGTGAGAGGTTTCACCAGACACAAAGTGGGAAACAGAACAGGCAGATCGACGAAGTACACTGCAGAGGGGAGCAGCGGGCGGGTCCGGGGAGGTCAGGCACGGCATGTGGAAACCTCCGGGACAGGCGGGAATCGAACTCATGAGGAAGCGGCTTTAGATTCTCAGTGCTGTGCTTTAACCCGCTGCGCCACCAGGGAGGGCCCCCTGTCTTGAAGTTTTATTTCCAGCATAACTATGGGAAGTGATTCCCTCGAAAGAACATTTCATTCTCCAAGGCGTCAGAAAACTCAAGCGTTTGTTTGTTTATTGTTTTCTTGCCAGCCGCCTGCCCATCAAACAGTAGAGAGCAAGTGGGCATCTCCATGATCTCACTCTTTCTCAGCCCTAGCATGCGATACAGTAACAGATACCCTTGGGACGAACTGACGTTTCAATTTATTATCCTTCCTTATCAAATTTTTTTTAAGATTTATTTATTTATGCATACAGAACTGGGGTGCAGGCCAGAGGTGCATGGGGTGAGAGGACTCACCAGAGATAGTGGAGAACAGAACAGGCAGATCAACGAAGCACACTGCTGAGGGGAGCGGTGGGTGAGACAGGAGAGGTCTGCTGTGCTGTGTGGATCACCTCCCTGGCCAGGAATCAAACTTGTGTCTGGCAGCTGCGCTAGCTTCATAGTGCTGTGCTTAACCTGTTGTGCCACCAGGGAGGGCTCTACTTCCTTATCAATTATAAGCAGGAGGGGCATGTGGAAGCTGCAGACAGCAGGCAAGATGGGGTGTTCAACATGAAGCCCCCTTCTTTAAGAGGGAGGGAACAGGAGTTGTCTGAATTAGGTTAGAAATGTGCAAAGCGACTGAGTCAGAGTGGAATCGCAACTTCCCACCACACACGTAGACACCCGCTTGTTCAGCAGGGACAAACGCCCCTAGATGTGCCTCTCAGGGCATCATTGGCCCATCAGTCAGGCTCCTTCTGGAGACAGACCGAAGAGTTCTGTTTGTAGGTGGGCCACTCCAGATTGACTACAGAAGTTTAAAATGTTACAGGGGAACCTGTACTGTAGCAGGGAGAGCAAGAACAGACATGGGCTTCTGTCTCTGAAAGTGCAGGAGCCAGCGCCAGATCACACACGTCCCCACCTGCTGTTCCAGTTCACAGAGCAGAAAAGGCTGGAAACTGCTACTAAGACAGCATAGCCCACAGCTCATCCACTACAAGTGGAGAGCACCTTTGCTCCCTTCCCGCGGGCTCCTGAACCTTTCCAGATGCCCATTGTCCTGGTAGAGACGCTCCCCTGCCTCTCACACCCAGTCCCCCTCCTCCAAAAAAGCAAGCACCACCCGGAGCCATTTAGCCAAACTTAGCCACGTTCTTTTCCCTAATTCAGGGCCTAGGAAGCTGCCTGTGGCCTTTACCAGGCTGGGATGGAAATTAATAGTAGAGAGCCAGGCAGCTTTTGGCCAGAGTTCCCTCTCACGTTGCAGTAACCAGTATTTGCGTCTCCAGGCTTGATTAATTACTGTCTTAATCCTTTACTTCTCTACCCTCCTCAAGGCAGCAGGAAATAAATGGCTGCAATTTGGGGAAAGTACACATTTATTTGTTTTCAAGATCAACCTTCTAGGTGCCAAGGTGGTGCAGGAGTTTAACTAGGGCCAGCCTATTCTTGATGAGGACAGTTGGCTGCGGGGACCCGGCAGTGTACAGAGCCCTTCCAATGCTGAGAAACAGCAGGGAGAGGGTGGGGGAGGAAAGAGACATCTAGACCCCAGAAGGCAAGAAATGGAGTTGCCGGTAGTTTGTTTATATCCGTCTCAGCTCTCACGTTGTTTTCTGTGGTACTTTACAACTTGAGCACCCTGCTCTAGTCAGTGCTTTCTGCTGATGTGTTTTTAAATAACTTAATTGTGATTGGAAAACATGTGGAATTTATCACCCTTACTAGTTTGAAGTGTAGTGTTCAGTTGTGCTCCGTCTTCACAACAGAGCTGCAGAGCATCTCATGGTGCGAGACTGAGACTCTGCCCACTGACCAACCCCTCCCAACTTAGGGAGGGATGAAAATGGCCTTAGGGTCTTGCTTGACTTCTAGTCCGAGTTCCCTGAAGCCACCTCCGTAGCCACCCGAGGTCCGATGTGTCCATCCTCAGCTGACTGGTACAGAGAAGGGAAGAGGAGGCACAGCTCAAGAGATGCCGGCTCCTCTGACCTGTGCTGCTTCCCAAGCTTCAGAGCACCTCATCGCCTCTGCTGGAGAACAAGTGGCTTGTGCAGGTTACTAATTAACTCAGAGGCTGGTTGACTTTTTACTGCAGTTTCACTTTCCGACAGCATAACTTTATTTGTAGAGACATTTGTGACCCTTATCATACCCTGAATTTGCAGTAGAATGAGAATGAAATTACATGCTTTTCTACTGCATTTTGAAAACGGAGGCTAGCTGTAGAGGCTGTCCATCCCCACAGGAGTCCCAGTCTCGAACCTCAGGCTCTCATCTTACTCCGTGTGTGACCCACCTCCCAAGGATCCTGGCCTAAAGATCCTCAGCATTGATTTTACGGGAGAAATCCAGTTCCCTCTGGGATATAAATTTATTTGTGACTTTTTAAAAATGATGTAATAGTTATTTTTACATCATGTGGTGCCTTTTTCCATCTCAGTTATAATCCCCGTGGGCTTCCCATCACCAAATCATCCATGTGCCATCACCGTTGTCTAGTTCTTTGACATTTTAACATTGTAAACTATAAACTGACCCATTGTATTTACTTTAAAAAGTTATCTCGGGTGATAGGAAAAATTACTACAAGCATTATTCCGCCATCCAGGAGAGGTTGCCCCATCTCCCTGACTGTGGTTTTCCGAGGTCAGTCGTCTTGGATGTTTTCCAAGCTCCTCAAACCCCTCATTCATCTCTGACCCTCAGGCATTACGGTAATTACACTAGATGGCAGAGGAATTGTTACCAGATAATATCTTAGAAATAGAAAATTATGAGCTAATTTCAGGCCATCTCAAATTAATGAGAATGTTCTTTGTGGAGTGCTACCAATGTAAACCCTCAAAAAATGACAAGTGGAAGATATTTAAATCCTTTATCTGTGGAGCTCGGTACAAGTTCTGCAAGCACAGCCGATTGCTATTACCTGCCCAGTTGCTGCGGTGACTTTTATCTTCCGTCTAGGTTTTGTTAATTAAATTTCCTCCAGGGCTTGGCTGTCATCAGCAACCTCTCTCAGGATGCAGTGGGTTGGGGGGCGAAATGCGGTTCTGAGTGACATAACTGGGTCTACGGAACCATCATTTGGGCTGGGGGCCTGCCGGCCAGGGTAACAATGGCAGACACAGCACCTCCCTCCTGCTCGGTCCCCGGTGCAGTTCCAGCCTGGACTTTGTGTCTTTGATCTTGTTTTATTGACCCAGCATTATTTCTCCTATGTAGGCAAGACCAAAGGGTACTCTTTCATGTGGTTTCTCTGAGCAGTTGACTCCTTTGATCGCAGAACGATGTCCCACTTCTCACTCAGAGATCTCGGGGTGAGGGCGGATGCAGGGGAGGAGAAGCCTGACAGTTTGGAGCACTGACCTGGCCCCTTTGGGTGGCTGCTACATTTATCTTTGCTGGTCCTTCTGTAGCTGGTGCTGTGTCTCTGCCCCTTCCCCTCCAGCTCCAATATGTCTGTTTGGGGGTAATCGTTAGAAAGTACAATCAGCTTGGGACAACTGGCATTTTATATATGAGTGAAATATACTGAAGAATGAGGATGTGAAGGTTATGCAGAAGCCTGAAGCCGTGCCCAGCCCAGGACCCTCGCTGGTGTGTCCTCTTCCTCTCCCCGTGCTCGGGTCGCTCTTGCTGAGAAGTCGGCCTGCTCCAATATCACCCTTTAAGCCAGCTTTTTTTTTTTTTTTTTAAAGATTTATTTCTGCATATTGAACTGGGGTACAGGCCAGAGGTGCAGGGGTGGTGAGAGGATTCACCAGAGACAGAGTGGGGAGTAGAACAGGCCGACTGACAAAGCACAGTGCTGAGGGGAGCAGCGGGCGGGTCAGGAGAGGTCTGCCACGCCATGTGGTCACCTCCGGGGCAGGCGGGGATCGAACTCATGCTGAAGTGGCTTTAGCTTCTTTGTGCTGTGCTTTAACCCGCTGCGCCACCAGGGAGGGCCCTAGCTTGTTTTCATATCAGTCTTTGAACCCAGAAATCAGTCTCTGGGTTCAAACACTGGCTCTACTTCCTCCTGACTCTCTGGCTCTGTGCAGATTATCGAAACTCTCCCTAGTTTCTTCAGGAGTAGGATGTGATTTACAACAGACCTAACTCGTGGTGTTGGCAGGCATGCATGAGTGAGGTCAGTGTACACACGGCTAGCAGCCTGCTGTGTGACTAACCAGAAAGCACCTCTTCTCCCAGGTTTCTGCCCTTCTCCCTGCTTCTCCTGAGGACGTTGCTCAGTGCACATGTGGCTGAGGCTGTTAAGTGTTAGGATTTTCCGGCTGGGTCAGCAACCGGGCCCATTCAGCTGCACAAGTAGATGCCTTCTGTTTCCCATCTTCTTGAAGGTCTGGAGAACCTCTAAACTGCTAGTCTAAATCCTACCCTCTTTGGCGTGACCTGGGTTATTGCTCTAGTAATAAGGCTCCTCTTCTCCACTTCCTACCTTTTGCATCCTCAACACCTTTCCCCAAATCACACTTTTCCTGCACCTTCCTGCCGCTTTCCAAAATGCAAGCCTGACGTCATTTCTTAATTGAAATTTCTTAAATTCTTCACATTCTTCCCATCAACCCTGTTAAAGTCCAGATCCCTTAGTCGGGCATCCCAGACCCCTGGGCAGGACGCTGCCTGGCCTGGCAGTGGCACATCCCGGTCTACCCTTGTCTTCTCCCAGCCCCTCAGCAGCAGCTGAGCAGTGAGTGATGCTGTTGATCCTCTACAGTATGAAGAGCTCCAGTAAGGCCATCTTTAAAGTTAAGACCCAACAGGTATTCACTAACAGTCACAGACTGATAGTTCACGAAGTACAGAAAAACCTGAACTTGATCAAGGATCACGGAAGTTAAAATTTAAACAGAAACCTTTTTCATGTGCTAAGTAACTTTTTGCCAACTTAACCCACACTGTGGACCAAAGTTCCGTTAGACGTTAGTACTCCCATTGAGTAGGGAGAGGAACGGAACTGATGAAGCAAAAGAAAATTTTTGAGTGATGAAAAGCTTTTGTTTCAGGATTATGATGGTGGATAACACTTGCAGTTTGGTACATACACCTTGGAATTTGGTGCATACTGTGTTTAAACTCTAACTCAATAAATGCAAATTAAAAAAAAACAAAACCAACACCTTAGCTAGTGTTAGGAGAGTAAGACAGAATGAGGTGTCAGGAGGCTGGGGCCTGGGTGGACTGGTGACATTTTGGATCTATCTTTTTATTTGCTTTTTTTTAAGAAACCCTACTCTGACATGGTGATTCTCCTGCTAGAATAGCATCCTCAGGAAAGAACCATGAGCAGAGGTAGATACAATATTAGCCCCAGCGTGAATAAACCGGAAAAGGAATGCCAGTGCCCTGCAGCTGGCCACTGGGTAAATCCTGTGTAAGCTCTGGTGGCCCCTTGGGGTGGAACAGCCCCAGCTGGAGGAACACCAGCTAGATTTCAGCCCTTCTTGTCCACACACGTTGCACCTGTCCTACCTTGCAGCCAGTCCTTTCAGGGGTGGGTGGGGCGGACACTGAATGGATGTTTTTGTGTTTGCAGTGGAAAGCGAAGTGATGGAAATACAGGTCTGAGTTCACATACCGTGCTGTCTGGCTCAAACACACAAAACCTGTACGAAACCTAACACAGTGGAACTGCTGGTCAATATGGGTCTTTTGCACATCTGCTTTTTCTAAATTTCCCTCCAGTCAGTACTTTTTATTTTTTATTTTTTTAAATAAATATAATAGTTTAGGGCCCTCCCTGGTGGTGCAGCGGGTTAAAGCACAGCACTGAGAAGCTAAAGCCACTTCCGCGTGAGTTCGATCCCCGCCTGCCCCGGAGGTGACCACATGGCGCGGCAGACCTCTCCTGGCCCACCTGCTGCTCCCCTCAGCAGTGTACTTCGTCCATCTGCCTGTTCTGCTCCCTACTCTGTTCCTGGTGAATCCTCTCACCCTCGGCATCTCTGACCTGTACCCCAGTTCTGTATGAATAAATAAATCTTTAAAATATATATATAATAGTTTATTTTTACATCATTTTGTACGTTTGGTTTCTTTTTCCATCTCAATTGTAATCCCCGTGGGTTTCCCATCACCGAGTCACCCATGTGCCAGCACCACCAGTCAGTACTTTTTAAATTATGAAACAGCTCACCACTCCTGCCTCCCAGTGTATCACGGTTCTCCTGCATGCTGACACCTGCGTGGTGGTCTGGTTGGACACAGCAGAAATGGGCCATCTGTGCTGGGTGGGGCTGGGTGGAGCAGAGGGTGCTGGAGCTTGACAAAGTCGCCGGGGTTCCCTCTGATGTTGTCCCCTCCTCTTCCAACCTGCAGGTTTGAGACATTTGAGGTCAACAGCTTTGAGCAGTTCTGTATCAACTATGCGAACGAGAAGCTCCAGCAGCAGTTCAACTCGGTAGCTTGGGCTCGTAGGGCATGTGGGGTGGGCGACCGTGCTCTTCCTGTGAGCACAGGCCCCGGGGACTCCCCTTCCCTGTGGAGCGAGGGGCCTCTGCTCTGTTCTGACCTTCCCTGAGTTTCCTGGGCACCCCAGCTGTAGGAGGTACTCACACTGCTCAGGAGGAGGTCAGCGTGGGGCTGCAGGAGAGAGAGGGTGAACAAGCCCCTCCTTCCCCCGGTCCTGAACTTGGGTTTCTGGGGCAACTAGAACTACTGCCAGCCAGACACAGGCCTCTTGGAATTGTTGGGAAATGACAGCACACGTGATGACTGGAATTTCCAACGAGAGGGGCCGGGTGGGAGGCAAATCACCCGACTGAACTTCCCTGTTCTGGTGAGAACACAGCCTGGTGGCTGTGACTTAGTGGCCAGCCCTTTTCTGGAGGTACACCCTCCTCCAGGACGTAGAACTCATGTGGCTGGGTCTCAGGGGAGATGAGGGCTGAGATATACTTGCAGTTCATTCACCTTGACCTCCACGCCTTCCCTAGCACGTATTCAAACTGGAGCAAGAAGAGTACATGAAGGAGCAGATCCCCTGGACCTTGATTGATTTTTATGATAACCAACCTTGCATCGACCTCATCGAAGCTAAGCTGGGCATCTTGGACCTGCTGGATGAAGAATGTAAGGTAAAGCTTATGCTTTTATCTGATCGGGCCGATTCCAGCTTGGACTTGGGGGGCAGGACTGTGGTGCAAGGTTTGCTCTCTCAGCTGGAACTGCTTCTGTGATTAACCAGCCAGGAGTGTGCCAGGAGAGCATTAAGTGTTTGTTCTGTGTGCCAAAAGGTTCTAGAAAATGACACATCGAGTGTGAATGGCAGGTATTGCTTCACTAGTGAGCGTGTACCTAGCTGGCAGAGACAGGGTGGTTTTATTGGCATGAGATGATGGTGGTATGAATTTGGGGTCCTGTTGGAGACCAGCTCCAACTATTGAGGTGTCTGGAGGCAAGACAGGCAGGACCCTAAGGTGGGAAGTCGTTGGCGAGCGGAGATTCCTAAAAAGGGGAGAAGGAGAAAAAGGGGGAAGGGGAGTGAGGAAGACACGGGAGTTGGAGTTGGGTGTAAGTCTTCCTGCTCATCTTTTTGCAGGTCTTTATTTATACTGTTTAGCAAGATTTAGTTACAATAATGCATCAGGTAAGTTAATAAGAAATCAGCAAAAAAGTTTTAAAGGAAGAGGGGAACAATGCATCTTCTTCCTGCTACTTTATGGCACACCTTACTGTACAGCTTTGTGATAGCTTTCATGTATACGGATATTTAACTATGACTTTAAAGGATCAGGGTCTGGGAAAGGATGAGCTGTTAGCAAAGGATTTAGGAGTCCTAGGGAAGGAATAAATTGTGTTAGCAGAGTCCTCAGTGATAGTCTAAAGAGAAGATAATGGCTAACTTAAGGTTAGCAGAGAGTCGCTAGTGTTTGTTTTAGGAAGAGGTTAAATAAGACTAGCAGAGAGTAGTTAGTGATCATTTTAGGAAAAGAGTAAATTAAGAAGAAGTCACATAGTTATGCATTAAGCAAAACCTGTGTTGATAATGTTAGGAAATTGTCCATGGGTCCTTATGCTCTGAGAGTTATCTAAGAATGGCTTTTTGTCAAAAGACCAAGGAGGCTTTCTAGGAGTCTTGATGCTCCAGGATCTTATCTCTCCAAGAGCTTGCCTTTTGTCTTCAGTCAAAGGAATTTCCTGCCCAGGAGCAGCTCAGCTTGTACTTTGCCCAGCCCAGGTAGCCAATTTAGAGCTAAGGCAATCCAGTTACAAACT